AAAAAATAACACAAGTAAAAAAAATACAGTGTAACAACTTATTTACATAGCATTTACATTGTGTTAGGTATTATATGTAATCTAGAGATGATTTAAAGTATCTGGGAGGATGTACATTAGATTATATATAAATACTACACCATTTTATATAAGGGATTTGAGCATTCATGGATTTTGGCTACACCATTTTATATAAGGGATTTGAGCATTCATGGATTTTGGTATCCGTAGGGGGGGTAGGGGGGTGAAGTCAGGGAGTGGCCCTGGAGCCAGTCCTCTTCAGATACTGAGAGGTGACTGTTAGATCTTAGATAGTTGATTTCAAGAGGGTTAATGACCCTAAAGCCTAATGCATTCCCATACATAAACCATTTTGCTCTCTGCAGGAAAGTTGTGATTTTACTGAATTCTTAGGCGCAAAACTAAATTACTTTTAAAAATTAACATGAGTTTTGTGCTTGTAGAATTGTTTTTCAATTTTAGTTGGATATCTAGTTGTGATACAAAAAAGGTATACAAACTACACATTGTTACAGAGAAGCAGGATAATGTAGCATAATGTAGACCAGGAGACTAAAATTAACTTGATGAAAGGAGAGAGTCAATATTTATATAGAAGTAACATTTTATTTCCCATAATATTCCTCAACTTCTACAAAAGCCATAATTAGTGAAAAGACAGTCTGTAAATCCAAGATTCAAAAAAACCTTGGACAGAAACTGTGGTATTTGGGAAAGAGGAAAGGTTTATTAAAAAAGTAGCACTTTAAAAAATGTAACTCTTTTCTACTATGGATTACACATTAACATATATATGCCAATTGAAAATATGCTACAACCATAATTTCTAGAAAAGCAGTTTAACATTTTCTAGATGGACTTCCTCCACATTTACTGTATAATGTAGCTGTTAGTAATGTACAAGTACAATTAACAATAATGTTTAATTACTTTTAAACAAAAAGGATTTTCTCTTTCTGTAAAGCAAGTTTTAAACATCAGAATCTATGACCATAAAGTTTTAGAACTTTCAACAGTCTAAATATTTCTAACAAAAACCTGGGCCGGTCCGTGGCTCACTCAAGAGAGTGTGGTGCTGAAAAACCATTATGTACTTCTCAAATGTTCTTTGTTATGTACCTGTAGGTACATCAGCCTAGTTATCTAGTGTGAATCCTGTAGAGATTTTTGTTTCTCTTTACTGGATGATTTTTTCTTAGTGCTGTCCTTGTGCTTGTATGCTGTCTTTGTTGCTATTTCCATTGTGTTGTGGCTGTCTAGCTTTCTTTTGACTAGTCTTATGACATTTCTTTTTCTACCCTTTTATTTTTAACCTATTTGAGTCTTTACACTTAATGTACATTTCCTGAAAGAAGCATGTATACTTGGGTCTTCCTTTATTATGCATTCTGACAGTCTTCCTTTTAATTTAAGTGTTTAGACAATTTATGTTTTATGTCATTATTGATATGGTAGTCTATCTAGATATTCAGTCTGTCATTTTGCTATTTTCTATTCTTTTTTCCTTTTTCTGTTTTATTTATTTTTTGGCCTTCTTTTGGATTAATATACTTTTTGTGATCTTATTTTATCTCTCCTTTTGACTTGCCAGCCGTAACTCTTTGTTTTGTTATTTTAGCAGTTGATTTGGGGTTTTTAGTATGCATATTGAACCTATCAAAGTCTGCTTTCAAGCAGTATCATACCAGTTCATGTATAATAAAAGTGCCTTATAATAGTAAATTTTTATTCCTCCTCTTTTGACCTTTATGTTATTGTTGTCTTGGTAGATGTATTTGTGAACCCTGCAATACATTATTATTTTTTTTTTGAATAATCAGTTATCTTTTGAAGATAAAAAGAAAAATCTCATATGTTTATCCATGTAGTTACCACCATTGGTACTCTTCATTCCCTTGTGTTACTCCAGGTTTCCATTTGGTATCATGTTTGTCTTAGTTTCCTTGAGCTGCCATAGCAAAATACTATTAATAGGGTGGCTTATATAATAGAAATCTATTTCCTCACAGTTCTGGAAATTGGAAGTCCTAGATCAAAGTACTTGCAGGGTTGGCATCTGATGAGAGTTCTATCCTTGCTGTATGCTTTCATGGGCTTCCCTTCTTGCATGGGGTTGGGGGGGCAGACAGGTGAGGAGAGTGTGTGTGCAAGTTCTCCAGTGTCTCTTAAAAGGGCACAAATCTCATCATGAAGGCCCCACCCTCCTGACCTCATCTAACCCTAATTACATACCAAAGGCTTCATTTCCAAATACCATCAAATTAGGGGGTAAGCCTTCAATATATTGATTTTGGGGGACACTGTCCAGTCCATAGTAATGTTCCTGCTTTCTGAAGGCCTTTAACATTTTGAGTGGGTCTGCCAGTGATAAATTCTTCCAGCTTTAGTATATATGAGAAGTCTTTATTTCACATTTTTTTAAAAATAAAATTTTTAGTTTGGGATAATTTAGCTTTATAAAAAGTTTGTGGAGCTGGCAGTTAGCCCACTTGGGAGAGCATGGTGCTGATAACACAAAAGTCAAGGGTTTGGATCCCCATACCAGCCACCATAAGTAAGTAAGTAAAATAAGTAAAGCAAGTAAGTAAAGAAAAAAGTTAGCAATGACATTGTGGAGATTTCTTTAGGCCATTCACCCACTGTCTCTTAATGTTAACATCTAACATAACCATGGTACACTTGTTGTACTAAGACATTGACATTGGTATATTACTGTTAGCTAAGCTCTGGATTTCATTTGGATTTCACCAGTTTTTCCACTAATGTCCTTTTCCTGTTCCAGGATCTAATCCAAGATACTATATTACATTTAGTAGCTTTTATTTTGGAAGATTATTCTGGGTATAGGGTTTTAGGTTGACAACTTTTTTCTTTTAGTACTTCAAAGGATATTGCTCCATTGTCTTCTTCCTTGTGTTGTTTCCAACAAGAAGTTTGATTTCATCCTTATTTTTTCCCTCTGTAAATAACATGTGTTTTCTCTCTGGCTGGTTTTGAGGTAATTTCTTTTATCACTGGTTTTGAGTAATTTGATTATGATGTACTTTTAAGTTTATTTTATTGTGCTTGTGGTTTGTAGAACTTCTTGGATCTGTGGGTTTATAGTTTTCATTAAGTTTGAAATGTTGTCATCCATTATATCTTCAAATATTTTTCTGGCTGTCTCCCTTTTAGGGACTATAATTATACATCAGGCCACTTAAAATTGTCCCACATTTGACTGATATTCTTTTCAATTTTTTTTGGATGTCACATGAGCCACATTTCAAGTGCTCCATAGCTCCAAGGAGCTAGTGGCTACATTATTTGGCAGCACAAATGTGGAACATTTCTGTCATTGTAGAAAGCCCCATTGGATAGTGCTGTGACTTTACATGATAACCAGGACTAATCCTATCATGCCTTAAATCTGTCTACTCATGCACCAGAAGAAATTCAAGCTATTTGTTTTTACTTCTTTCTTTTCTCTGAACAACATAACCTGGAAGTTATTACTTTTCACTCTTTTATTTTCTTGCATTATTTTCAATAATGCTTATTATATTTTTACTTGAATCTATCTCTTTAGGGGACCCAATAATTTATTTTTCTTTTTAAAGATGGTCTTATCTATTTTCAATTTGTTTCCTGAGTTTTATCAGCTCCTACTCCATTTGTTTCCTTTTTGTCTGTTTATGGTCTAAGTTATTGAATTTCCGATTCTAGTCTTCTTAATCTCTAAAAGCTTCTTTGAATTTTTTTCTGGAATGTTGTGTTTGTTAAAAAATATTCCCTTGAGTTTCTTTAAAATTCTGTCTTTTTGTATATTTGCTTTTGTAGGCTGTGAAGTCCATTTAGTTTTTCTTTCTTTTTTTTTTTTTTTTTGTAGGTGATTAGGTCTGTTTGTCAGTCTGAAATGCTTTAAGAATTTTTTTTCGTATTTATTGTTTACTAATAGATGTCTGGGAATTAATTGTTCAAGGTCTATTTTCCCAAAGAATGGTAGGCATTTTCAATATGTAGATTTTGATCTTTCCCCACCCCGTCCCCCGCAAAAGTTTTCTTGGATTCTGGTTTTAATATTAGTTTGTTACTTTGTTTTGTTTTCTTCTTCAGAGACCCCAATTATACATATATTGGATCATCTTTGCCTGTATTCTATTTCAACCACTTTCTCTCAGGTCATTTTTATTCCTTTCTTTATTTCATTTTTTGTTGTCTTAATTATTTTTTTGCTCTTTCCTCAATGCTGTTTATTAAACTTTGAGGTGGGCTGGGATCGGTGTATTTGGTTCTTTATTTCTATAGAAATTTTATTTTTTTTTTTTTTTTTTGTCTTTTTCCGTGTCCGGCAACGGATCGCAACCCTCAGTGTCGCCCCCGTACCCGACCGGGACTGGCAACGGGATCGCAACCCTCGGTGTTGCTCCCGCGCCTCTCTCAGTCAGTGAGCGGGAACCGGTCTGTATGTGGGATCCGAACCCTCGGCGGGAGTGTCGCCATGCTTCCCAAGCGGCGCACTATCGCAGTGCGCCACCGGGCCGGCCCCAGAAATTTTACTTTTGTAGAATTTTTTATTTACCTTCTTCTTTTCTTTCACTATCCAGTAGACAAATGGTGATTTAAAATAAATGAATACACACTGAGTTTAAATGTTATTATTGGTTTTTAAACCCTGAATCAAGTTTTTCTGATCTTGGGTTGGTGCTTACTGGTATTTTGGAGATAGACCAGTTTTTACATGACTGTAATATTACAAATAATAATGTCAGTGTATTATAAATTTTTATTTTTATGGTTTTGTTGGTTCCAGGTCTTACATGTTTTCCTTTTTGTACTGAAAAGGATTTTTTTCTCCTGACATTTTATGTGCATATTTACAACAATCCTTGATTCTTCAGAGGCCTCTATGAGCCACAGAGGAGATAGAGGAGGTTAAGAAATTACTACTTTTATTAAAGGTAGCCACATTGATTATATTTCTTGTTTTGCAAAAACAGGAACCAAAGGAGGAGAATGGATTGCTGAAAATGAAGAAAAAACAGTCAAATAGAGCAAAGTGTTTGGCCAAAAGAAAAATTGCACGTATGTTTTCATTTCTGTGTTGAGAATGGTTTGGAAATTGTAACAGTGACAGAATTGACACTGGTTTTTTCATTAGGAAAAAGGAATTTTCTGAATAAGGTTGTATGTACTTCCTGTTTATTCTGGATTCCATTAAAATTTTTAGGAATTGCTTAGCCTTGAAATTAAAAACATGACCTTCAGAGTTAGGCATACTTGGGTTTGAATTCTTGCTTTACCCCTTACTCTGTGGATCTTAGGCAGGTCACTGCTTTTAGTTTACCTCTGTTTCCTCATCAGTAAGGTGCAGAAAATAACATTTACTTAGAAAGTCACTTAATAGAGTCTTAAATTGTTTGAGGTTTTGCTTTCTCTTCTGTCTTTGTTATTCGTGAAGTTATTTAATCATTATTATATTTTTGTATTTTAATATGATATGAAATGTTAAAGTATTTCAGTTAATTTTCCAGTGTAACTTGTTGAATTATTACAATAATTGATTCAAGATAAATAAGGCTTTCTTTCACTGTTAATTTGAATTGTGGTGTTTTAAGATAAAATTGTGATTTGTAAAATTAACCATAAAGAGCTCTTTGTTGTTAGATCATTGTGTTATGTCTAGATATAACTGTCTGTACAGTTAGATCTGTTTAATGTACACAAGTTCCCTTCAGTCTTGAGAATTATAGGTAATAGTTACTTTCTGAAATGTAGTAATTTTTACCAATTGATGGTTAAGTTTTTGTCACCATTAGTACTGTTGACAGTTGTCTGCTTGGTTATTCTGGAACTTTATAGTCAGAGCAGGTTTTACTTTTTTTTTTTTTTTTTTTTCCTTTTTGT